GTTATTCAACGCGCTTTGGAAAGGACGATGCTCGGAATTTCCCTATACACGCAAGTGCAGAAGGGAATCCCGAGTTCCGAGCTCCGTCACCGAACGAAGATCAGGGATGCCGTTGATTACGCCAAGAAATCGAAGATCAGGTGGGCCGGACACGTTATGCGATATAGTGATGACCGTTGGACCAGGGCGGTTACTGACTGGATCCCTCGGGACATCAAACGAACTCCAGGAAGGCCGCCAACGAGATGGTAAGACTTCTTCACGAAAGCTCTGAACGAAAGGAATGGTGAACCTCGTGTCCCTGGAGCGAGAACGATTCACTGGACCACTCTGGCTCGTGACAGGGACGAATGGAGACGTTACTGGCGTCCGCTCGAGGAAGTCGATGTCAACGGGACGACAGGCGATACAGGTGATTATTATTATTATATTATATTTATTTTATCTTCATATATTTTTCCTTATAACGATCCTTTCGGAAGCGGTTCCTTTTGAATGTATCTAAGTGATGAAAACAACACCGTACACTTCAATTACGTAACCATTCTGTCCTAAGTAGTTGTGGCAAGTGTAAAGGATAGCCAAAATGAGGCGTTTACTTGAAAAAAAATTTCGTTAAAGGTAGTTAGAGCTTCTGGTAGTATGGGAAGAACACTGTGCGAAAATTTTGACAGCGACGGGTAGCATTTCCACATACTTCGTCTGCAGAGCAAGAGCAACTACCCGCGTCGACACCTCATATCGGCTCTTCGACTGCGCCTTTTATATAGGCACTACCTTCAAGCGATTGTGCTTTCATATTTATCTGGAAACTTAGTTTACGGTTGCACCTTCCATATTCTATGGAGCATTCTAAACTCTATCGATCTGCCTAGGTCATCATTCAAGGTTTCATGTGAAGCTGACTACCCTTCCCTTGGGAAGATGAGTGGCAAACACTTCAGACAGCATTCGCTTTGGAAGTGTGAGCAGAGCTACTCGAGGCAGACCATTCTGCCAACGTTTTTCCATCGACAATTCATTGCTGATTTTTTCTTGCTCACCTCACCCGCACTTCCAAAGCGATGCCTATCTTCAGATTACAAGGGGGTGACTAGTCGTAAGCGAAGGCACAGTACTCTGCCTACCTTTACTTCTTCTCGAGTTCAGCAGTGATTTCCTCGATGCTTTTGCCTTTCGTCTCGGGCACGTATTTGATAACGAAGAATAGGAAGAACGTCAAGAACGCAGTGAACACAAGGAACGAATATTGATGCAGATAATTCTACAATTGACAAGCGTCGGATATAGTACGCGAGATTACATGCCCAGCAACATCAGCAATGCTTGCGTTTTCTTCGGGAAGTAAGTTCAAAATCAATGGCTTGTACAGGATAACCAACAAAATCGCTGCATAAACCCACGTTAATTGGGAGGAAAGTGAGGCCAACCGCCACGTTTGCTCCCCAATTAGTCATTGTTGCAATTGAGTTGGCATTTCCTCGTGCATTTGAGGCGAAAATCTCCGATACGAAGAACCATGGGATCGATCCTGACATTTAGAGTTGAGAAAAGTGTACAGAATAACTTATAACGAACTGCCTTATTTAATTGATTGGTTGGGATAGTAGAGAACTATCTAGTAAGTTCAGGTATGTGTTTCGACCTAGCACGAAGACCAGGCCTGATCGTTTGCCATTGAGAATTTCACGAAAAAGTAAAGTTCTGGGGCTTGGGGCTCGAATACTGAAGTTCTACTCGTCAGGAGCTTCTGGAGTTTTCTAGGCACTAGAATATTATGAGATATAGGGTATATCATGTGTTATGAGAGGATCCAAGAAATTATTTTCGCTTCCAATCTGTGTGATTGAAGTATTACTTGGTCTTTACTACTGATCATGATTTGATTGCTTTATTCCGATAATATTTAGTTGGGACAGAACTTTCAAAAAATCAAACATAAGGGCGAGGATTGCTAGTCATACCTGCACCGGCAGCAAATGAAATGACGAACAACAGGACGAAGGCAATGGCACCATAGCTGGCCCACTGATGTCCACCCATACTCATCGAGATACAAACCACCAACAGTACTGTCGATATCCACATACCAACCAGACCCACAATCAACAACATTCGACGTCCTGCTTTTGGATGATCAACCTAAACAATTAGCTTCACTTCTTTCGAAATTTTACCTTAAACTATCAGACTTTTGAGCTTTCCTTTGTGTAATGAAAGTATCAACGAAAAAAACTATCAGGGATGGACGTACCAACCACACAGACACGACTGTCATCAACACATTCACGGTACCCATACTGATAGTAGCGAATACAGCTCCCTGATCCGACAGACCGGCTTGTTTGAAGATGAATGTCGAGTAGAACATTGTAGCGTTGATACCTGAAAGGGATCATTGGGTCTGAATTAGAGCCACAGAAGGGCTAAAAATCCAACGATTCTCCTTCAGGTCGCGGAATACAAAGGCCTGTAGCCTATTTGAGATGGAAATTGGATTCACTGGTAATTCAGCAGTTTGGAGGAAAAGCGCTTAAGAATTCAGGGATTAAGGAACACGATCACTCAAAGTATGGCACCCATTAAGAGCGGAAAAGCGCTTAAGAATTCAGGGATTAAGGAACACGATCACTCAAAGTATGGCACCCATTAAGAGCAAGGTACCTAATTGTTCCATAATTTGGCCCCAGTGAACTCAAGCCACTAGCTGCCTCGGAAATTGATGTGTGTGATGTGGCCTAGACGTAAGTTCACGTGCCAGGAAAAGCCAACAAGCAAAATTTCCTATCGCTGCGCTCTCTCACATAATTCAACAACGGCCGTATGCCAAACACTCTCAGCGTGGAAAGTAGCACCGATCAAGAGGAAAACATTTCAACTTGTAAAAATTTTTTGAAAGAATTTATTTGGTGAAAATGCAGTCGGGTAGAGCAGGGGTTCCATCCGACTTTGCATGTTGGTCTGCGCTCTCGTATTGAAAGGGGTTCCATCCGACTTTGCATGTTGGTCTGCGCTCTCGTATTGAAAGTGTCTCACCACCTCATTCCTCATGAGTGGTGCAGCCGACTGCGGCAGGATGTGCAGAGTGGACAGTTCGCTCAGAGGGTCATGAGCAGAAATCTGACGGACTTCATTTCTTTCGTGCGAACACCTCTTCTTCTCTTCTTCTTTACTTCCTTTCCACTGGCGCTAATACAGCTGTCAGTCGCTATATCGGTAGAAGCAACCCCTTGGTGAATAGAATCATATGAAGAACGTCCGATATTACTTGAAGGTATGTCAAAAGACAATGGCATTATCTTTGAAAAATGTGCACCGCTGGACGAGGATGTGGTTATTAGCCGCAGGCACGGTCAAGAGCGATCCATCTTACAAGAGCGAGCGGAGTATGGGAACATACGTGCGTTCGAGGATGCGCGCGGCGAAATTCTTGGGGATTCGAACAACTCTGACGACTAATTTTGGGGCACAAACTTGAAGTAAAGTAGTTTAGTA